TATGATTGGCTTGATTATTCTTGGCTCTTGATATTTTTCTGTAAAGTTTAAAATCACCTCGTCAATTTCAACTATAAAAATATCTTCTAGAATTTTTGATTGGGGTAATATTAAGACTAGGAATTATTTTAGTGAGAATTCACATCTTTACAGTATCAAATCTGCTCATTTACTATATGAGTTAAAAATAGAACTTACAGCTTTTTTTTGAACTTGTGATTTCATGAAAATATATTGCCTTTCTTTGGGCATCAATCTTCTAACATTTTTGTCTTTCTTATACTTTTGTCTTAAAACAGCAGAATTTTCAAATAAATGTTATATTTCTTGGTGTCATATCTCTGATTGTGTATGTGTATGTTTATGTTGTGGCTTTTCTTATCTTCTATTAACTTTATTCCTATTTATTTTTGAGGCTTTCAGATGCTATTATACAAGTCAAGTATTTTTAAGTCTTATTTTCTAATTATATATGGTTTATATTTAGAAATACAACTGATATATATTGTGCTTGTATTCAGCAAGCATGTTGAGGTCTCATTACTTCTCATAGTTCAATATGAAAATTCATTTGTATTTCCTACATATAAAACCATATCATAGGAAAATACTATTCTTATTTGTTATTCTTCCTATGATTCCATAATATATTTTAAAATGGTTGTAGTATATCTTTTGTTCCTTTAAGCAATCAGAGCCTATTATAAATATAGAAAAAATAATCACTTATAATCCTACCATTGTTCAGTTGTTATCAGTTAAAATCTGTGTTGATCTTTGCAGCTGTTCTAGATAGTTTGTAGCATTGGGTGATGAAGGACATACAATTTTTAAAATGCTATTCCCATTTAATAATAGGCCATTGACATAATTTTCTTAGGTGAAATCCCTAGAAGTAGGCTTTCTGGGTTAAAATGTATAGGCTTTTGAAACCTGCTGTCAAGTTGCCTTCTAAAAATGCTGTGTAAATTCTCATTTGTTCACACCAGAAGTATACTAAAGTTCCTGTTTTCAGACACCGTGGCCTTCGTTGAGATTCACACTTTAAGTATATGATCCCCCCCCCCCATGCGAGTTAAAAATAAAACGTATAGATTTTTTTGAACTTGTGGTTTCTTGAAAATGTTTTGCCTTTCTTTGGGTATCAATCTTCTAACATTTTTATTCTAACATATTTATTATTGTAACCTTCTTTCATTCCTTTATACTTTTGTCTTAAAACTGCAGAATTTTCAAATGAAAAGATCTAATACTCTCCTCCACTTTACAGAGGAATAGATAAGCCTGGAAAGTTGAGTGGTTTGTCAGCTGCCGACCTGCTGAACCCTTTGCAGTTTTGTTTCTGTGTGTGGACTTGATCCTATTTTCTCTGAAAGGATACTATTTTCAAGATTTTAAAATATAATTATTTTGTTTTTGTGATAGACCAGGGACTATTATCTAATAACAGAATTATAATATAGCCTTATAATTTATCAAGTTCCTGTCTCCAGACATAATATAAATCTACTATCGTTTTTTTTAAGATTTCTGTGTAGCAGGCAGATGGTAGCACAAATTTCTAGGCTCCTTCTCTGAAACACTCTCGTGAAACACTCTCGTGAAACACTCTTGTGAAACACTCTCTTGACTTCCCTAGACACAGTTTAATTTGAAAACACTCATTTTAGTTGTATACCTCATTTGTCTAGGGCAAAGATGAATAAAATACAATTTCTGTTCTTATGGATCTCCATCTCATGGGGTTCCCATGGCACATGCATACCATAATTTATTTAGAATTCCACTTATTAGATTGTGACTTTATATTTACATTCAGAACCTAGCACAACACCTGACACATCTAAGGTCTTTCTTGGGCAAATCCCATAACCTCTTTAAGCCTCACTTTATCTGTATCATAAAGATAAATATATGCCTCATAGTGTTAAACTGTTTCAAACTCAAGTTGTATATATAAAGAACTTGGAGATTGGCAGATAATAAGCCATCAGTAAATGGCAGCTCTTGTTCCTATTGGAAATCTAAAGATCCTGAAATCATATTATTACAAGTATGTGACTACTCATTGGTCTTATATTCCATTCTTTGGGGATTGACAGTTACTTTTGCTTTTTAGTGGATTTTAAAGTTCATTCAACTTATAATTAAAGTGATTTATAATTTAAGTGGCAAAAGGACAGATTAGAATATTTCTGGACTAGTGAGATTTTAAAGTTTAGATGTTCTTTTTCTTTTTATTCCTGTATTTCTTTTCTTTCTCTTCCTCTTTTCTTTCCCAGGTCTCAGGTAGCACACTGATGTTTCTATGTATTTGTAAGACAGTTTGTCATTAATATTTTCTCTCACTTTCTTCATCTCTAGGGGGAGAGGTAGTAGAAACTACCACTCTGTCTTGTTGCTGTAGTTTGATTTAAAGATGTAAAAAGTTACCCCCCAGCCTCCACCCCAGCACACCTCAGGAATAAATATGGTAGCAACTTGAAAACCTCTGTGGAAAGTCTAGATCCTTAGTGCAATAGTTCTAAAACAATTTTTTTCAAACCTGTCATTGTACTCTGTTTCTGTCCTTCCTACCATTCCCCTCACCTTCTCATGGTGGGCGTTTGGCTCAGCTGATCAAAGGAAGGTATTTGTTGTACAATCTTTTGTATATAGTAAGTTAACCAAATTTTGCCCTTTCTTCTTAATTCCTATCACTACTCTAAATTAAGGTTTGAGCAAATGCTTTTTTGGACATTAGGCTTATCACAAGTGAACTATGAGGAAGTCTCATTTACACAACTACTGTGGAAATATACCTTGCCCCTCTGTAAATTGTTGTTCCAAAATGCTATATTAGACTAAAATTTTAGAAATTAGTACTTTTTTAAAAAAAAATAATTTGCCTTGGGAAATCATTGGATATTCAAAAGAATTATGATCTGTATGTATGTACCTTAACTATTGGGATGCGGATAGTTTTATGGATAACAGACATTAAAGGTGTCTATTTGGTCAATTTATTTACTTTTTATACTGTATACACAAGATAAATTTTTAAACATTTCTATACAAAAGTTAAAACATATACCATTCTTAAATCAGTAGTTCTTTAATTGTTTTTTACATTGAATATCATGGTTCATGTCCCCTTTGTGTGTTGAATATTTGGAACTTTAATCTGGCAAAGGAGACTGGGCTTCTTAGGCGTCACTATTTCCACAGCAGCTGTAACGAAGCTGGACAAAATGCATGTTTACACTGCACTATAAATCAATAGCCTTCTAATATTATCAAAGTTTTCCTTGTTCTTTTAAAACAGCAACATTTTGGTAACCTTAATCAGAGCCCAATGCGTGTTTCTTCTAAATGGCATCTGATGTGGTGTCTCTGCTCTCTGTGGTTTCCTGTTTTTTTCATACATAGAGAAAACCTTTTGATGTAATCAGCCTCATAGTTTTTCTTTTGATGGTATATCAAACCTAAACTGCCTTGTAGCTGCAGCATACTGCTGTAAGCCTGGCTCACCGTTCGTTTATTTATCTTGCCACAGATTGCTCCTTTTTTGTAATTCCTCCAGCTTTTCCTTAAATATCCTGCCTCCATATTCCTTAGCATTACACCCCTACTTGTACCCTGAAAATGTGCTCTGCAAGGAGGAGATGGCATTTAGTTAGATTTCTCCACAGAAATAGACCTTGCCTTAGCAATTATTAGGTGTACGAGATGAGTGACTCTCAGTGTGTTGCCCCAGACTGGCTGCATCAGCATTTTTTGGGAACTTGTTAGAACTGTAAGTTCTCAGACCCCACCCCAGTCATCTTGAATTAGAATATCTTAGGTTGAGGATCAGCAATTTCTGTATCAACAATCCTCTCAGTGATTCTGACGCATGCTCAAATTTGACAACCACACAGTAGATGATTACTGAATGAATATGGAAGTTGTATATTTATGGTGATGCTTCACTGGGAGGACTGGTTTAGGATGGGGCCAATTTAGTCTATTCTGCCTGAGCCTTATTTCTCAAGAGATACTGCTAAAGAAAAGCCTACGATTTAAATACATGAAGTCTTATAAAAGGGTATGTATAGCTCTTATGCTGTGTTACTGTGAAAACTGCAACTTTAAAATGTTAAAAATATGAATGGTTTCTTTCTTCCCCCTCTTGTGGTGTAGGCATTTAACATCCCAAAGGAGGAACATTAACTAAGGAATGAACAAGTGTTACTTAATTTCATGGTGGGGAGGAAGTGGGTGAATGTTGGAAACTGGTCAGGAAGGGGATAGGTTAGGAGACTTTTTCCTGGATACCATTCTATGCTGTTCTAAATTTTTGAACCATATAAATGCATTACCTAATAAAATTTTTCATGCATGATATTTAATATAAATAAATTAGTGAATAAGTGTTTAATAAATAAAATTCTATGTGATAGATATTGTGTGTGGTTGGTTGAAAAATACTAAGATTTCCCTTTGCATTCATATGAAAGGTTAGATGACACGTGCTTTTCATCTCTGCAGAAAACATTGGTGTAATGGCTAAAATGTATTAATGACTTTCCACCTGATCTTTCTCAAGATGGTAGAGAATGGGGCAGAGAACAAAGGATTCTATTATATGAATTCATCATCTTGTAATTATTTTAAGAAAATAAATAGGGAGAGTTTAACTTGATTCTAAGTTTCATAATCTTGTATACACGAAGAGGTCAGACATACAGGACTTTGACCTAATACCTCCTTTCGCGTGCATCTTTAGAAATATCTTGATAGCCAAGGACTGTTTGAGAGAAGAAATTGATTTAGGTTTTTGTCATGTTCTTAGTGAATGGAAAATAATCCAGTTAGCAAAACCCATTACATGCGTTTTGAATTATGGACAATATTCTCAACTATTTGTCTTTTCGTACAAATGCAATTATATTAATGTTATGATGGAATCGTGCTGTTTCAATGGAAGGTATTTCTTAAATGACACTTGATTCAATTTACTCATTTTTTTTCTTGTGCAGAACTATTGTGCCATGGAAAGTATTCAGACAGTGCCTTCATGAGGTCCATCAAATTAGCTCTGGCCTGGAAGCAATGGCTCTAAAATCAACAATTGATTTAACATGTAATGATTATATTTCGGTTTTTGAATTTGATATTTTTACCAGGCTATTTCAGGTAAGTTTCCATTCACTTAACCCTCCCTCCCTTGTGTGTGTGCAGTGTGCATGTGTGCACACATGTGTATACCTCTCTTTTACACACATACACACACATGTACACACATACAAACAAATTGGTTATAGTCTCATTTTGGGTGTCCATAATTTTAAAACTAGTCATTGCTGTAAGTTTAGAGTTTGTTTCAACTGTCGGGTGCTGTGAGCCTAAGAGTTGCTTGTTAGCTTTGAGAAGATTCATGCAAAGGAGCTTTGTTTTCAATTCCTTATTTAATTTCTCACTTTACTTTGTTAGTCTTTTTGGCCCAGTAACTGATATAATGCAGCTTTTGCAGGTGGGCATTTGCTGGGTTGTATCCTAACTTTTCTCCTTTGCCTCCCACATTCATTAGGTGAGAAGGTAAATAGTATATGTGGAAATAGACAGAAATTGTATCCTGTTCTGTATAGGAGATTACTCCATTGTGTACTGTTCTACCATTTGCTTTGCTCGTTCAGTCATATGTTATAAACATCTTTCCATGTCAGAAAATATTTTTCATCAATATAATTTTCAATTTTCAGTTGCTATATACATATTCCATCAATATTATAGGTCACTTAACAAATCTCTCTTTTGGAAAATTAGTATTTTATTTCCTGTTTTCTCCCTAATATATATCATTTTGAGATTAACCTTCTCATGTTATTTTTATTTTTTTAAAATCATTTCTTTATAATTGCCTTTACATAGCTATTCAGAAAAGCAGGTATCATGTGATGAAAGTTCGGTGTTAACATTGTATTCTTTTGTGTGTCTTAATGGCATTACCCTAAACATAAAGACTTAAAATTTGTGTTTTGAATTTGGCCCTACCACTAAATTGTGTTTCATCTATGGGATTCAGTTCTAGCAGTCATGAAATGAAAGAGTCCCACCTAAAATCATCAGGATAAATGATATAGTCAGTGAGGCAAATTGATCAGAAACCAGGCTTGCTTATATTCTGATGTAGTTTTTTGTTACTTTAGTGTGTAGTAGGATTTATTGTTTGAAACATGCTTTCAACAAACGTTAAGAGTATAATATTGGTTTTTCTGTTTGCCATGTTATAAGTCTTTTGCCTCTGTGATTTATGACTCTGCTTTGCACTAGCCTGCAAGGATTGGGTGACTGATTTATGTAAGAAAACAAGATTGCATGGGATTAACTTCTAATTTATGAAAGAACCTGTTAACAGAAGGCAAATTAACTCTTGTCAACAATACTCATCGAATATGTTTTACTTTATTACAACTTTGCAGTTATAATCCTTCCTAGGGCATATACGATAAGAAATTAGATAAGTGACTGCACAGAATGTGCTTTTGCTTATTTTCAGTTTACAGCAGTTTTGTGATTACTCCCTTGGTATCTATAGGTTGCCAGCTTATATGATTTTAAGATACATTTTAGAAAAAGGTTGTGTTACCTGATACTAATCAGTGTCTTAAAATTTTCCAGATACTTGAATGTGATACGAAGACAGTCTAAGTAGTAGGAGCTTTGCCTCTTCCACTTGTGAAGGGAGAGAACAAAGATTATTTTCATACCTTAGACCTAACGTTCTAGGAAAAGTGTGTTTTAGGGGGAGCCTGGATGACTGTTAGTGTGCATGTTAAATGCTAGAATACCTCAGAGTTATATGTTAAAGTACAGGAGCAACTTAATGTTGGTTAAACACTTACCCAAACTGCTATTTAATATGCACATGTATTTTCTCATAAGCTGTTTCACTTTAAAACAGCCCAACTTGTCTTAATACACTGTTATGTATATCTTATTTATGCTCATCAGGAAGGGAGAGGAAAAGAAGCTTTTTAAGCAGAGCTGCTGTAAAAAGTTTTAGGTAATAAAACCAAACTCTTCCTTATGGACCAAAGAATGCATAGTTTCTTTTCAAACACTTAATTACAGAAGAAGCTAAAGAGCCCTCATTAGCCCCTGTATATGTCTTAGATTTTTACTGCTTTCAGTTTCATTATTCAAATGAGTAATCATACATCTACTTTAAATAAGAAAAAAAGTTGGTTCTATGAATAGAAGAGTGGGTGTATTAACTTTTACTGATCTTTTCTTTTTACACAACTTTAAAAATTGAGTAATAGTTTTAAGTTGTAATTATGTATTCAACATGAAAATGTAGGTTTGTGAACACTAACTGCATGAATAGTCTTCTGCAGCTGTGATATTGGTGGTTAACTGGCAGTGAATTCTGGCTCTACACTGTGGGACATGGGGTATTTAGCAGAGTGGGGCCTGAAAGTGGGCAAGGTGCCCTCTCAGGATGGGGTCTCACATTTAGAGAGAGCCTAAGGGTTTGAAGGAGGAGTTGGCAGAGGCTAGGAGACGAACTCCACGTATTTCAGAGACCTAGGCTCGGCAGGTACTTAAGTCCTGGGGTGGAGTACAGGGGTTAGCTGCTCTCTTCCCTCTCTTGGGGGCTGTTGTTCCCCTTCTCCCCCACTTTCCCCACGGTAGAGAAGACTGGATTGTTGAGAAACCGGGCAATAAATTTGAGGAGCAGCAGGGTAAGGGGTGAATGATTTGGGGGAATATACTATGGAATACATAACATCAATGGAATAAGGGAAAAAAATAGGAGGAAAGGCACTCATTGTTGCAAATAATAAGAAAAAGTATCTGGGCAGACCAGCAGAGGCCCCTCCACCAACGTAAGTTATAACTTAGTAAATGGCTATTTTTGAAAATAATCGAATTTGGGGAGAATGGAGGGACTAGTCTCCTTAATTCACTTCATTAATTTATTATTAGTCATTAAACATTTCCAAATTTGTTTTTGTGTGTGTGAAAAGATTTCCTTTAGTCTCTAAAAACCAATTGCAAAATAATTCTTACTGTCCAAAGCACTTTATTTTCCCTTCTTTAAACCATTAGTGGGCAAAATAGTTTAAAAAACAATAACACATAACTACCACGTGTTTCTGACTGGGTTGTATTCATAACGAAAACAGTACACAGACTTTTTCTATTACATAAATATTTTTGCAGCTAGGAGCTAGCCCTCTGGATTAGTACTAGGAAATGGTTGCTAACTACTGCGGCAGTTGGCTCAAGACTCAAACTTCATTTTTTTTGCTTGTATTTTGATCTGTACAATGGCGCTCTATAAAGTTCAGCATTTTTTAAAAACAACTGTCCCATCAATTTGTGTGGACTTCAATGGAAGCGACCCAAATATTTTATATTCTTTCCGTCTTTGTTGTAGACAGGGAAGCAGATCAAAACCAAACAAATCCCAGTGCCTGTAATAGCAGTTTTTTCTCAGTTTTATAAAACATACACTGCTATTCTTCCAAGGATTGTTTATGCAATGTCTAGCCGTGCCTTTAAGAAGAAAATTAAAAATATGTTTTGTTTCAGTACATAGACAAGGCTCTCGTAACAGTGTTCTATAGAGCTGCTTTTTGCCCAGTTGGATATTTCAGCTTGATGGGGAAATGCCTTAAAGATTTTTCTCTTGTCAGGAAAGATTAAAAAGCTCTTTGTTACTAAATCATTCCTTCCCTCGGTACCCTGATCTCAAGGGATAGGTTTGATCTTTGAAGAATTTGGCCTCGCGAATTTGAAACGCTTAACAGTATTGAGGAACATGTCTCAAAACACACAAAGCAGAAGCCCTCTTACCAATAGTTATTTCTAGATGACTGTTTCTACGACTTTCCCTTGGCAAAAGAAACGACCTTTTTTTTTTTCTTTCATGTAGATGTGAGTTAATAATCTGGCACATCAGATACAGTGTGCTGCCAGTTCCTTGGGGAAAATGTAGCTTGGGCCTTCAAAATCTGGCTGAGATGGTTCAGCCACACCCTCGAGCCAAATTGTCTGTCACTGATTGCCTTTCTTCTCTTGCCATGGTGACTGACTGGGGGACAGCTAATCACATTAAAGAGAGAAGAATACAAACCTTGTGCTTGTACTTCTGGGAAAGGTGGTTGCATCACTCCCTCCTAAACCAAAAACCATTTCTAATTTCCTAGCTATGCAGGGATAAACCGGTGTGAGTACGGGGCATGTTGTGTGGCAGACACCACATTGGGAGTGAGGCCCCAGCCGGGGCTGTGCAGCAGCGGTGGCCCTGCCTCGCTGCTGCTTCCAACACCGGGTGCCAGCGCCTGGGTCCCTTTGGGGAACAGACAGGCACGTTCTTCGCGACGTAGCTTATGGCTAATGTGTAAACTTTGCCTTTGCACTTACGTCCTGTGGTACAGTTTCTTGTCCTACGAAATGAGATTCTAGAGGTACAGTAGTGAGTAAAGCAGACACCCGGGGGTAAGTCATGCGAGGAGAGAAAACAGTTTTAAATACGGTGCTCTGAGAAGGCTCTGTTGTGGAAGCGACATTTGGAGAAAGGAATCACGGTATTTCGAGAAAGGATTCGGGTAAAGGAATCGGCAAATGCAAAGGCTCCGAGGCGAGAGGGTGCAGTTGTGTTCAAGCCCACAGCAGGGGGGCCAGCGTGCCTGGAGAAGAGGCAGAAGGCGGGGATGCACCGCAGGTGCTGGAGAAAGGGAGTTGGGGACGAATGCTGCAAGGCCCGTCGAGGCCATTCCCGAGGACTTTGCCTTTTACTCAGTAGGAGGGCTTTGAACAGAAGAGCGATGTGGTTCAGGTTTTAAAATGATCACAGGTGCACTGTTGGGAATATTTGTAGAAAGAGATTATCTAGTTTTCCTTTTTGTTCTGTTTTCTATTCCTAGGAAATGTTTTCTGCCTAATTATATTTTTCCAAAAAGATAAAGTTATTGCATGTTTACTGTTAGATAAAAGTTAGCCTAAGCCACATAAGCTCATATTCACCTTGAAAATATACAGGAGAATTTCAGGAAGCGTATTTAAGTGATGGGTTGGTATACATGATGTTATGTAGTTAATATGTTTCATTTATATTTTTAGCCTTGGGGCTCTATTCTGCGGAATTGGAATTTCTTGGCTGTAACACATCCTGGTTACATGGCGTTTCTCACCTATGATGAAGTGAAGGCACGCCTGCAGAAGTACAGCACCAAACCTGGAAGGTAGGACTTTTCAGCAGTCACATTCTGTGGTGTAATAAAGATGAAAGTCCTTTATGATTCATTCCTAAATAAATCAGTAACGCCCATGGGGGTGGAGGGAGGGGAAAGCTAATAGACCAAAACAGTGCTTCTTAAGTGAATCCTTTAAAATGATACATTGCTCTTGTTCTGAAACTTAGTGTCATAAAGTGAAAGAAAATGTGGTGTAATTTGATGAACTTGGAGGTTCATTTGGTCTCAGAGTTCTGATTTTCAGGTTGGAGTAGGATATAGCATACTGACTGTTTTCATGACACCTGTGTTTGTGTATAAAATTGTATGTGTATATTTGAATATCAGATTCATGTTCTTATAAAAATTATTTTTCAAGACATTCAGCTTGGCCCTGTGATAAATACATATGTACATATAAACACATATAAGTACATGAACATATATAAACCCATTGTTGTAAACCAAGCTAGTTTCATATCCTTAAGAACTTCTTTCATTATACCTCGCGTTGCTTTACAGCCACAGAATTGGTTTATCTTCCAGATGATAAACTGAATGAGATGCACAGAGGTTGGCTGTTTGGCCAGCCCCTCTCACTTTGCCCAAGAAATCACACTTTATTAATGGCAAATCTGGCATCAGAAAATGTCTGCTCCCTGATTAATGCATTTCCCCACAACTTATCTAGAAATGCATTAGGCATATACTAGCCATTGGTGCCCTGGCAGGTGGCGTGCTGGGTACAGCAGTATTGGCAGACCTGTCTGCACACACTCACGTCTTAGTAAGGAGACACCATTCTTATGTCCATGAGTGTGCTGATTTTTCACATAGAGGCCATTTCATTTTAGGAAGGAATTTGATGTGTGTGTTTTTTTAAGTCTACCTTTTTCTTCCAATATTTTTATTTGATTTGTAGTGTAAATGGTGCTTGTCTTTTAACAAAGTCTTTTCAAGCACAAGCCAATGTTGCTGATTCCTTTCTTCTTTGCTGTAATGAAAAATTCCCCCTTTTTATATTTGACAATCTGTATGGTATGTAAAAAGAAGGTTGGGGTGCAGAAAACAGTGTACCTCACGTTCTGGTCTTCTGTTAAGGTTAAGGAGAGCTGGTTCTCATTGGGACCATGAGAGCAGATCAGATATTTTGCACATGGACAGTGGCTTAGATGAGTCATTTTGTTTCATCCAAGAATCTAACCCGGGATTTTCCATAATTTTTACTGTCTAGATTGGCATCAAAATATTTTTGTTCTTGGAGTATGCTTTGAAAAATGTGATATGGTTGGGATCATGCAATCTTTGTTAAACCAATTTAACACAAGTTATTTGGGAAATTACCTTGTTCGGTTCTATAAATATAATAAGGAAACTGAGTCCCTCTTATGTTCTCTTTTTCAAGATCCAGAGATAGTTAATGACAGTGTTGGAAGCAAAAGCCGGGTCTCATCACTATTGGAATAGTTTTCTTAATAAAAAGATATTGCTCTCTGAAAAGATGCCTTCCTTTTCTTCACAACTTGCCCTGCAGCAATTTATTCTACTTAGTTTTAGGTAGTTAAAGATGAAATGTGTAGCTGTGGTAAATTATAGTAAGTCAGGTATGGTGGGGCTTTGCAGATGTGTTTAGGAAAACTCTCTTAATGCACAAATCAAATAATTTTGATACAGATTTGTTTTATAAAATATGTCTGTTTAACTGGCCCTTTGTCTTGGAAGGCCATCTGTTTGTCTTTATGGTAAAGAAAATAGTTGGGCCTTTTCCAGGGATGTTGGGTTCCTCAGGTTGTGCTTTATTTGGGATCCAACAGGCAGGCATTAGTCTGTGTGGGATTTTTTTTATCTGATTAGGATGCCAATAATTGAAAAGTTGATTTTCTGTTTTCAGGCTAAGAGAATATTTTTAAACTTTATTGAGAATTTATTTTCAAAGGCTCTATAACCAGAGTGAGGTTCTTAATATTTCTAGGTCAGCTCTTTAGAGCTCTTATTTAAAGATAGTATGGCTGGAATATTCAAAAGAAAAAGTGTTATTTTTAATTATTAATACAACTTATTAACCCAAACTGCATACTTTTTAAGTTATAAAATTACATATTGAATTCCACAGTAGAAACTGGCTCAATTTATGTCCGAGATGGACAAATTAAATTTTTACTTACCTGTTTTATTTTTACTTTCCAAAAGTGATTTGTCCTAGCTGGTTCTTACCACTAGCACTTCTTTGTTTTTAATCCTTACCTGAAGATATGTTTTCTTTATTGATTCTAGAGAGAGAAGAAGGGAGATGGGGAGAGCAAAAGAAACACTGATTGGTTGCCTCCCCTATGCGCCCTGACCAGGGATCAAACCTGCAACCTGGGTATATGCCCTGACCGGGAACTGAACACACAGCCCTTTGGTACACAGGACAGCGCTCTGACCACTGAGAAACACCAGCCAGAGCACCATGGCGATGGCAATAAATCACTTGATAGTCTACAACTTCAATTATTTTCTCATATTACTCTGACGACATTTAAGGGAAAATGATCATTGCTTCTGTTACAGTTCAATACATGGAGGAGTACAACAGTGTTAAAATAATTTAGAAGAAATAAATTTATATCAGGAATTCTAAATAATTCTGTTTATTCTTTAGCTTTAAAAAATTAACAAATTGTATAGTGCTTATATACATTTTGAATGTGATTAAACAATTTCGTGTTTTACAGCTACATTTTCCGGTTAAGCTGCACTAGATTGGGACAGTGGGCCATCGGCTATGTGACAGGGGATGGCAATATCTTACAGACCATACCTCATAACAAGCCCTTATTTCAAGCCCTGATTGATGGCAGCAGGGAAGGATTGTGAGTATGAGAAATGGGCGTCAGGGAACATTCACAAATGTGAAAAGTACAGGCTGCTCTGAGATGGAGAAAATGGATAGTGAGGCTGGTGACATGGTTGCTTGGTTTTTATTTCAAGACTAAGAAATAGATTCTCCTTCATTTTTATTGTTTATCTCCTAATCTAAAATAGTTATTGTAAGGTATCCTAGTTATTTGAATTTTACCTATATGTTATAGCAAATAAATTCCAACATGAAATGACTAGTTTATATCTTTTAAAGGAAAATAAGTTGCAACTTAAAAGTTGTTTTAAAATAGATATAAAACTATACACACACAGGGGTGGGCAAAAGTAGGTTTACAGTTGTGAACATGGGAAGCAGTTTATTATTGTGTTATTATTCATTAGTTACTGTATTTTCCATACGAATAACTGTAAACCTACTTTTGCCTACCCACAAATTTGAGGCAGCCTGATAAGCCCCTTCATAGTAAACACAACTCTCATTCATTTTAGTCCTGTTCCACTTCTTTTGTTATATTTTCAGTGTTTCTTCACCACACTGACTTTTTGTTGCCCTTTGCCTTATTGAGTAACTTGGAGACAGGTGATTCCACCTGCTGCAGCGTGGAATGTGATAGAAACCGAGCAGGAGGAGGTCTGCCAGAGTCAGGAAAGAGCAAATGATTTAAGTTTTACCTTTCCAGAAATAATCGCCAAAAAAAAAGTGGTGGGATCTATGTAAAGAAAAAGTGCATTTTCTTATAGTTGTGAGCTTTCTAGAAATCCTTACATGAGAATTGTATGGTAAACTGTGGTACTGTGCTCTTCTCTTTTTTTCTCTTAATTATGATAAATTTGCCGTTCCCAGTTATACTTTTCCTGTAGTGCAGCAGAGATCATATGTGTAGCTTTGAATCACTATGATTGCAGGATTTTTGTTTTTAAGAAAATGTGCCTTAAAGTTTTAATTTATAAATAGAGGTTATGAGTGGGCAAATCTGTAATTTGATATAGTTATTTATATTATTACAATGCCTTCCATCTATTTTTCAAAAGTCAATAAAAATAACACTGATTTGTAATCAGTAGTGTAGCTTCTGAACACCTACATAAATTAACTTAATATTTACACAAACACACATACATACACATCGTCAGGGAAGTGTGAAGAATTGAATTTGTACTTTAGGGTAAATTATGTTAAAAACGGATCAGATTAGAATTTTAATCTGATAAGCAGATCAGATTTTTAGGTTATATTAAAATAGATACTATATTAGATCATTTTTCGTTTTAAGATCAGTAAAAGCACAGAAGGGAAATCACCTGTCTAGTCCAGCTATCATCAGGGTCAGCAGTTCTTCCTGATATTTAATCCAATATTGTATTACATAGGTGATAAATTTATTTTGATAACCAGCCAAGATGCTTTCCTCCTTCACTGTCTTTCACCCTGGTTTACTGAGGACAATTATAATTGAATTGCCCTTTATACACTAAATAAAGAGAACCTTTAACTTTTTCTCTAACAGTCTTATTGTCATATTTGTAAATTTTCATTTCTGACTTCTTCCTAGAATTTCTACATGTTTTTTTGAAGTGTGGTGATCAAAATTTACATAATAATTTTTAAAATTGGACACTTCAGGGTATAAAAAGAAACTTACTTATCAACCTTTGCTTATCACTCCTCATTTAATATTTGTAGAATTTTATCCCATCCCCATAATGAACTATACATTTATATCATATTCAGATGTAGTCAACTCCTTTTCCTAAATCTTAAAAAAATTATCTCATTGATTTATTCCTTACCATTTGAGAATTGTCTGTTCTCCAAGTTAACACTAACATATTTATAGACTCTTCATTTAAGGATAAATGTTTTTTGTTACTTCACAGAATAGTTTTAATAGTTCGCCCTTTAAAGTATTCACCATTGTAATAGTATATTCTTAATTTTTCATTTAAGCCATCTAGAACAGAAAGATATTGAACAAAATTAACCATAACTTAATGAGTTGACAAAATCCAACAGTAATACTGCCATTAAAAAAATTTTTAAATAGGTATTTACCAACACAATAAACTTCATTTTAATAAGTTTCTTACTAAAATCTCTTTTAGCACAGCAAGATGGCATCATTACTATAACTTTAGAGAGTTAGTTCTTATTTCAGTTCTCTCTAATAATGAACCTTATGTTTATAAATCATTGTGTTTGTAGCTTGATTTGAAGTAAATGAAGGATGGACTTATAACACTTTCTGATTTCTTTAAACTTGTGTTGGGTGAGTAGAAAGTGAGATGGAAAAAAAGAGAGTGGGAAACTAGAGAAATGGGAACACTATACAAATGTTTGAATAACATTTGGGAGAAATATTTAATTCTGTTTTTCTCTTTGTGGTGTTAAATATATTTGTGTAAAATACCTTTAACATTAACTATGCTTCAAATGAAAGATGTAATAATTGTAAAAATATATATATTCAAAGTAGACTGGAATAGAACATGAGAGACCAGTAAAATAAATTTTTAACTTATCTTTAGTATATGCCTGTTAGGTTATTTATTTGAAAATGGTTGCTTATTGGCTGAGTCCCTATTCATTATACATTTCATATATGAAAATTATTTCTAGATTTTAAATGTTTTAAAAAGAACTTATAATATTATGGCATTAGTGATAGAATAGGTTCTTGATATAAGTTACATAAAAAGGAAATATACAAATGTGTGTTTGAATATAGAAGAATTTGATTAAATAACCTAACTGCAATTAAAACATATGTTTCTAGTAATAACAATTCTGTTTATAATCCAGCTACCTTTATCCCGATGGAAGGAGTTATAATCCTGATTTAACTGGATTATGTGAACCTACACCCCATGATCATATAAAAGTTACACAGGTAAGGACAATTTGTGCAAATGTATTTATAATTAATAAGTATCTAGAATGCTTTTGACATAAATAAGATTCTCTACTTATTCTAGAGCCAGAATCATGTAAAGGTACTTAATGCAGAAGATACATAAGGAAATTCTAAGGGTATTTGAAAGGAAAATACATTACTTTTTCCATTTTTTTGAGTAAAGATTTTTGCTGTTAATCTTCTTGCTTCCAATATAATTTTGTTAGTTATTTGGGGAGATTGATAGGCAAATCTATAGGTAGGTAGACAAATATGACCAAGCCATAGGTTTAGGAAACCCCATAGCAGATCAGGATAATTATAGGCATTAGCTTTTAGAGTTGGAATGAATAAGTGAAGCGTATTGAAGATAATAATTATATTCTTATAAATCCATTGTGGCAGCCTCATAGATTGAGTGGGAGTATAACTGGGCAAAGCCTCTCTTGAGGGTGATATTCAGTAATAATCAAAATCTAAATAAAAATGTCTTTGACTCTAGATTCCATATATAAATCACTTGCATATACACACAAAGATCTATACCATGGGTGTTCACTTTAGCATTTTTCATAAAAATGAAAACTTACAAAATACTGAAATATTCTATCATAGGTTAAAAAAGTATTATACCTGTACTGTATCATACTGTAAAGTCATTAGCAGGAGGATGGTAGCTCTACATACTCACACGGGCACCTCTGCATTTTATGCAAAAATGTTCCATCTATGGGAAGCTCAATTATGTAACATTTCATTTTGTAAAATTACATTATGTAAGTTTAATTTCTGTAAATAAAGAAATCACCACATATGAACATACGAATATACTTTTTTGTTGTTGTTAATCCTCATCTGAGGATATTTTTCCCCCATTGATTTTTAGAGGGGGGGAGAGAGAGAAACATCAGTGTGAGAGAGACACATCAATTGGGTGCCCCCCGCACACGCCCCATCCAGGGCTGGGACTGGAGCCTGAAAACCAGGTACTTGCCCTTGACCTGGAACCGAATCCGCAACCCTTTGGTGCTTGTGCTGACGCTCTAAACACGGAGCAACACTGGCCGGGAATGAATATACTTTTAAAAAATAAAAATTAAGAAACACTAAAGTGGTAACAGTGTTTTTAACTGAGGAAGTAAAAACATTTAGGGAATCTGGGAAAAAATGAAAGAATCATTTTCCATATAATCTAGTTTTAAAATATCCTGTAACATTTTTGTGATGTGTATAATAAATGAAAATCTAATAAAAAACAAATTATAGGTTTGGGGGAAGACAATAGATAATTTTTTAGTTTATTTCTAATTCTTTAGATTTTAGTCCCAGTGGTCTTGATTATTATGTGAAACACACTTGTTGACATATGTACAGTTTGTGGGCAGTTTTAAAATTTAATATATGATTTCCAGTTTTTAAATTATGTAGTGATTCTCTAGTATACAATATTTAAATATACAAAATTTTTATTTTATAAAATTCCTTTTTATAAAACCGTTGTTTAAAAATACCTATTCAGGTATCATTCCCTTAAATGACTCATAAATATTTTACTATCTTACCCCTTACATTGTATTAAATTCTTCATCTAGGTTTTTAGCTTATGGTAATTTTTTTTATAATTGCAAATTGGTCCTTTGTCATAACCAGTGTAAGTATTTGCCTATTATTTTATTTTATTTTTTATTTTATTTTTTAAAATATATCTTTATTGATTTCAGAGAGAGGAAGAGAGAGAGAGATAGAAACATCAATGATGAGAGAGTCATTGATCGAGATCATGTGCCCTGACCGGGAATCGAACCCTGATCTCCTGGATCCTAGGTCGACGCTCAGCCACTGAGCCACGCCCAGCTGGGCTGCCTATTATTTTAGGGACTCCAGTAATTCATAGTTTTGGGGAGTTACTTTAGATTTATTTATTTTTTTCCATCTTTATCCATTCTCTCGTCTTTTTCCTTAAATTATTTTTAAAAAATTATTTATATAGTCATACATACACCCATTATGGTAGAGATAACTTACATATGGATGTGTATGTGTATATATGTGTATCTATTATGTGTATATATATGTATTTTTTTTCTCACCAAGACTGTAAGATCTTTTAGTAGGTTAGGGATTAAGTATTGTCATTTATTTATCATACCCAGTACCAGGTACATGGGCACCTTCTAGATTAGAACATTGTCTTATTTAAACAAATTTTATCTCTATAATTCTTTTTTTGTGTATCCTTATTAAATAGCACTTATTTTATTTAATTTTTTTTGGTATTTTCCTTACATTCACCAGTATATTTCTATCTCCTTTGTGACAGATCTTTTCAGTATTTGAACAATGAAAATTTTACCATGTCAGAAGGTTCTAAACTATAGTAAATCAAGAGAAGGAGTTTTGATAAGACAATTTTTGGTTGCTGAAGTGATTAGGATTGGGAAAAGAGTATGCGATTTAGTTAGAGATTTAATACAGAATTTGAGGAAAATTTAAACTTATTGAGCCTCAAATTTTTTTAAATTTAATATATCTTATTATGCTTTGGAGATTATATAACACGATAAATGTGGGCTGGAATGGCTTGGCAAATGCTTTTCTCCCATTCTGGAATTTCTATAGGTATCTAAGAAATAAAATTTAATGTTCAGCCAGAATCTGTTTATTCATATACTTTTGTAATTTGCCAATAAAATTAGATGAGTATGTGGCATTTACAAAGAAAATAAAATTAATTATATTGCTTTTTACAACCATAAGTTTGTTCTTTTGTGTCACTGTGACTCTTGCAAGTCCCGTCCTAAAGGAATAGTACAAAGCATTAAATAATCCAAAGTAGTAAAGGAGCTTATACAACTGCTGATAAAAGCTTAAATTTTTCAAAAAACATATTTTATAGACCAAATCATCATTATCAATTTAAAACATGTTTCAAATGGCGACATAATCCTGACAGGATCAAGTGTGGGAATGTACTGTAAGTCATGGTATTTGAGAAAATTCAGTATTAACAATTTATGCAAGAAATACATTAACATTACTTTTTCCCCCCCAAATTCCAGGAACAATATGAATTATATTGTGAAATGGGCTCCACTTTCCAGCTCTGTAAAATCTGTGCTGAGAATGATAAAGATGTCAAGATTGAGCCTTGTGGGCATTTGATGTGCACCTCTTGCCTTACAGCGTGGCAGGTATAAAATAATTAAGCTTTAATTAGCAGTGTGAATATCTTCCTTATATTCCCTATCACTGTCTTTTCAGTTTTTTTCGTCTTGATTCAGGAAATAATACTGATGAGTGCTTTGTTTGAATAGTTGTTTAAAAATATCTCATGTGTTTGAGTTTCTTTTATTTAATTTGATTTTATTGCTTTGTTTTATATTTTGTTTCTTTTACATATATAACTTTATATTAGTCATAAGTAGTTCTTCTATAACACTGTTGATTTCAAAAAGTCACTTATGCATATTACCAATTAACTACATTTACAGGATTTACTGTAGATCAGATTCTAAAGCAGAGTAAACTCCAGTACATAAATCATATGTTGATGTTTCAACCACCCCGCTTCTCCTGAGGAGGTGTGGCTCACATCTCATGTATGTCTGTGGTTGCTCTGTGAGGCTAATATGGGAAAATCAGACAGGAAACATCTCCCAAATACTCATAGTCCCCACAGAAACGGGGGACTAATTTAATCTAAAATTAAAGTTTTTAGATTACAGAAGCAGAATGAAGATAAACTACCTTCCCCTCTCTAGGCAGATGTTCAATAAGTATAAATTGATTTAATGTTTTGAGTAAGACCTAGAGAACAACTGGTTTCCCCAAGGGCTTTCTTATACTTATCTATCTGTAATAAAGGGTGAGATTTCAAAACGGATCTTTGGACAGATTTCCAATTTTGAGTATTTGGAGGATTCTCAGAATATTTTGATCAGGCCATTTTTTAACTGCTGTTTAACACTGCCAGTGTTGAAGTGAGTGTTGTTGATGGGGTTTAGTTAGAAAGGACATAATTAAATGTCAAGCCTTTTTGAAAAATTGCAGTTGCATATGTGATTGGCACCCCTCCCCTGTTCCTGAGCCCTCTGGGTCCTGGATCTTCTCTCCGCCCAGCCTCCGCTTGCCTGGGGAAGGGTGGCCTTGGGTCAGGGAGGGCAATGCAGACTGGGGGTCCTCGATGCCTGATGAGCTCTTCACTTGGCAATAAAATATAATGGTTTTCTCCTGTTTGCAATCTTATAGAAAGAGGCTCCTTCTTCCTTTGGGGATATTTAAGAAATGGATGGAGAAAAAGAGGAAGAACTAAGAAATTAATTACAATTGAGTGAGGTTTTTCAGAGCCGTTCCTAACTCCTGGCATCTTTGTGACCTCAGCTCCCATTAGTTTGGCAGACACCTTCAATTCATAAAGATTATTGTTTAAAATGTACAAAATAGCTGTCTACCTGTGGCCTCGGGTGAATAAAAGAGTATGGCTGGATATAAAACGGACCAAAAAAAGATTTTATTTTACTTCCTGTATACTTCTTGAAAGAAATACATCTTTTAAAATTTCAGCACCAATACTATATATTTTATTTAGTAAGTTTGCGAACTATTTGCCGTAGGTATATCACGTGCAGGGGACACGGGACTTTTCCCAGTTGGCACTGGCCTTGTGTTACTCTTCGCCCTGTAGGCCGCGGGCCGTTCCTGTGTATTACTGTGCGTTCTGCAGATGGTGCAGTTCCCCCTGCTAGTCACTGATCAGTTCCTTGCTTCACTTAATGATTTTTGATGTTGGTCTAGTGCGCTTATATGAGGATACACCCAGTCATACCCATAATTTAACATTTGGTGTTTCTGTTTTACTCTGAAGTACTTCTCAGTTTTACTTTCAGAAACTGAGGACATTGCCAAGCACCGAAAACAGTCTGAGCAAAATTTTAGGAGAAGCTGTGTAAGAAAGTAGTAATAAAGTAGTGGTTTACTAAGTAGAGCAGTAACAAAAAGTGACAAATTCAAAAGTATGCAGGGGTTGAAATAATAATCAGATGAAATCACACTCAGGGCACTAGTGGTTAAAGTTATTAAGATCTTACTTAATCTGATCATAGAATTTTGCATATGGATTAATGAAAAATATGCTAAGGAATTGTTTCAGCATTAGTTTTTAATTCTTCCCACCCAGGACAGTTAGTGATGAATAAACACTTTTCTGATGTATGTTCCCATAAGCTCTTCATTGTATTCATATTGTAAACATTTACATATCTACCTGTGTCTTCTCTAGATGTGGATTGCTTTACCTCCTTCACAGTCCCTCACTGAGCAAGTGTGCTACCCACCTGCACACTGGGAGTTAGTAAATTCTTATGACTGCGTGCTAGAGGATATGTAAAGGAAAGGAGAGCTACGATTGCATTAAATAAAAAGACATTTATAGTGTAGATTAATTGTGAAAAGCCCTTGTAATGTCTTAGATTTCACACTGGTGCTTTCTGCTAACCAACAAATCCTGTTTTGGCAGCTTTCATATTGTTGTTTGAACAGCAGTGTTTGACAATCATTAAACATGTGATTGCAAAATACCCCCATTATTGAATAAAAATAAGTCATAAAATTAATCCAGTTGAAAAACATTAGCTATGCTAAAATCCTCACATTGTAGCCTCAAAGCTGCTCATTGGACTTAACCTAATTGATGGTTAATATAAGAACACAATTGTTGAACATTTCTATAGTTTTGCAATATATTGTCAAACACTATCTAAACTACAGATGTAAAGGAAAATGTATGAGTATTAAGTCTCTGGTTATGTGTACATGTCGTTAAAATATGTCTCTTTTGCAACTTTCTCATTCGAAATGGTACAGGGCTAGAGTCCATATTTTCTGACTTTAAAGCCAGCGCTTTTGTTCTATATGCTTATTTGATTTTTTTTCCTGTGGAGAAAAAGTTAGGTTTTAAACTTAATTATGCACAGGAATAATTTTGTTATTTTGCTTCTCCTAACTGGTTTGGTAGGAGCAGACATGAATTGTTTCATGCATCATTCTGCAAGATCTCAAATCTAGTCATTCACTTATTCATTTATTTATTTAGGAAACATTCCTTTAGCAGTTGCTGTGTCCCAAGTTCTGTGCTAATATCTGAGCTAAGAACATTAAGAAACAGCCCCTAGCCTCAAGAAGTTAAAATGAAATCTGTAAGTTTTATAAAGAGGCATGCTATTAATAATTACTTGAAATGAACATCCTGTTATCCTTCAAATTTAATTATGAATCTGAGATATTTTTTGCTACTTTCTATTACCTTGGTTGGGCATGCTGATAGAGAAAGGATTTTAAAGGCTGCATGTCTGCCAAGAAGCTCTGATAAATCAGTCAGAGTCCAATAGGAAAGATTAAACCCTGACTATAAAACATTATGCCTGTGTGAACTTTTAGCAAGTCATTCTTCACCAGCTTTTCTTTCCATTTGATGCCCTACTTTGCTTTAATTGAAATTCATTGGAGACTTAAATTTTATGTAATTAACAGAAACCCTAAGAAAGGCACAGCAGTAGTGTCAGTTGTTACAGGCTGCGAGCGGTTACTCTTTAATTGCTGTCATAATGGCCCATTAGTCATGCCTCTGAAGAGGTGTCAGATACTTTTTTCCTTCTGAAACATCTGTGTTATTTAATAAATTGAATAAGCAAGGCACAGTTTGCACAGAATACTAAATAAGTTGAATAATTGCCTCTAGAGGCATTCTTTGAAACAATATCATGCTGGGTGTGGCATTTTTTTGTTACCTGAGGCAGTAAAACTTGGAGGGTTTCCTTTCACCCCCACACTATGCCATGGATTTTAACAAAACCTTGTTCCTCACCGCAAATTCCTCCACATCTTCCTTGCCATAGTAGTGTATTATGCATCAGTGATATTGCAGGGTTACCACATAGAGTGTAAAGTAAGGAACTGTTTTCATTCTGTGTTTTTTCCAGAATCTAGAACATGGCTTCTGAGCTCATGAATGGCACAAACTCTAAACCATGTTCCTCAAATGTTGCTTTCAAAACAAAAATGGATACACTTGTGTTTCAGTTGGATTTGCAGCCTTGTTTTGCATTACTACTAAGAACTTTAATTCAATTAAAAGTAAAATTAGTTTTTTCCTGTAATTATTCCTTTGGTATACTTTTTCAGAATAATTTAAAGGAAAGATATAAGAGTGTTCAAAATAGTAATTCACAAAAAAGCCAGTAGATGAAAATCAGCACACACTGATTTTAATATGACGTGTGATTTAAAAGATTTATGGGTGTCCTGTATTTAGACATCCATAAATTATCAGAGGAAGAAAAATGTGTGGTTCTCTAGGAGAGGCGAGTAGCCAACACCATCACGTTTAAGTCAATAAGAAATAATCTTGCCCGGCCAGGCGTGGCTCAGCGGTTGAGCATCGACCTAGGATCCAGGCGATCAGGGTTCGATTCCCGGTCAGGGCACATGCCCGGGTTGCGGGCTCGATCAATGGCTCTCTCATCATTGATGTTTCTATCTCTCTCTCTCCCTCTCCTTTCCTCTCTCTGAAATCAATAAAGATATATTTAAAAAAAAACAAAAAAGAAATAATCTTTCGCCCGGCCAGCATGGCTCAGCGGTTGAGCATCAACCTAGGATCCCAGAGATCCTGGTTTGATTCCAGGTCAGGGCACATGCCCAGGCTGTGGGCTCGATCCCCAGTCGGGGGCGTGCAGGAGGCAGCCGATCAATGACTGGCATCATTGATGTTTCTCCCTCTCCCTC